TTTTCCCCCAAAGCCCCAGTAGATAGTTGTATGTCATAGCTGCACATCCTTCTAGTTGCTGTATGTGGGACGCGGCCTCAGCATGGCCGGACAAGCGGTGCCTCCGTGCACGCCCGGATCCGAACCCGGGCCGCCAGCAGCAGAGCGCGCGCACTTAACCACTGAGCCACGGGGCCGGCCCCGCAAAATGTTAAAATAGGACTTTAGAAGGTTCAACAATGGGTATTCTTATGTATCCTCTCCAATTTTTCTTTTATCAACATATGTTTCTTAATGATATAATTTGGTATATCTGTGGAATTGGCAGGAAATGCTATAGGAGTTGATATATTGCTTTGTGATAGCTCTTACATTTCAAACGTACTAGGTCATGTTGCTCTCTAACTGGTAGAGCCTGCAAGCATGAAGACTAGTTAGAAGATAACTTATGATAGTTTGTATATATACATATAACAAAAAACAGTTTAACCAAATTGGGGTTTATTTTTCAGACATAACGGTAAGTCTGGGGGTAGCCAGTCTAGGACTGCTGCAGCAGCTTCAAGATGCCATGAATGACCCAGACTCCTTCCATCTTTCTGCTCCAGCATCCCTAGTTTGGGGATTCCATCTTCACATTTTCCACATCATGTTCACCTTATTTTCATCATGAGGTTCCATCTCCATCCTCATGTTAGTATTCTAGGGAGAAGGAAAAAACAAGAAAGAAATGGAAAGGCTGTCTCTAGATTAGGAAAAGAAATGTTTTCCTAGAAATCTTCACTATATGTGTAGAACTATATCCCATGGCCATCCATCACTGTATGGGATCTAGGGAAATAAGTTTTTTGGCTAGGCACATTGCCAGCTCTCATCCTCCAAGAAAACAAAACAAAAAAAGTCTCAGGATATTTCTAATAAGAAAGGGGCAACAAGCAGTACTTGCCCCTTCTTCTCAGATAAGGAGGAATCCCTAAGAGGAACAGTCCCAAGTCTCATCCAGTTACTGCACTGAGCTCAGAGTCCAGGATCCAGAAGTCCTGATGATGTGGGGTATGCCCCATCAAGAGTGTGGATCCTCATGCTCTGGCAACCAATTTTTAAAGAAAAGTTATCTGCTTCAATACTCGTAATAAGTAATGGTGATAGACAAGATACAGGATGTTGGTAAAACTCCTATTCAGAAAAAAGGAAAATGGGAAACACACAGTGGTCACTGGTCCACAGAACATCTCAAATCCTGTAGGATAATTATAGCAAGGAATCCATGCCCTTGATCAGTTAATCTGTCAGTTCTGGGTTCTGTTCTGTAGGAGGATCTTCCTATTCCATTATCTTCCAGGGTCACAGCTGAGGTGGACATTGTGGAGGAAACCTTTTCTGGAGCAGTAAAACTTTAGCAGTCTGAGGATCCTAGATCCAAAAGTGGTGTGAGTGGAGAATCTGGTGCCATTCTTCCCTTTGAGGCAACCGATGTTCTGAAAGCAGTAGTGGAGAGGTTGAGAACTAGCTAAAGTTTTCAACTGTCTCAAAGGGAGTGTGTGGGGAGTGGAGTGTGAAAAATGTGAGTTCAGGACCCAAAGAGGAAAGATTTTAAGTTGGAATTCCAAAGTGTTACACACTGGAAGTAATTTTTATTTTATTTATTTATTTATTTTTGTGAGGAGATCAGCCCTGTGCAAAACAACACAAAACATCTGCCAATTCTCCTCTTTTTGCTGAGGAAGACTGGCCCTGGGCTAACATCCGTGCCCATCTTCCTCCACTTTTTATGGGAGGCCGCCACAGCACAGCCTGCCAAGCAGTGTGTGGGTGCACGCCTGGGACTGGTCAACCCCGGGCCACCACAGCGGAGCGTGCGCACTTAACCACTTTCGCCACCGGGCCGGCCCCTGGCAGTAATTTTTAATTATATATTAATCCCTGATTGGATTAAGGTGATCTGCCCTTAATCTAAGTGGCCCCCAATGAACCATACCACCCAGTATTCATGGCTTCCTGCCATAGACTCTGAGCTTGGTCGTGTGACTTGCTTTGACAAATGACACATTAGTCAGCAGATACAAGCAAAAGCTTGCACATTGAGGCTTGTCTTCTTGGAAGGCTCCCTCTTGGAACCCTGAGATTACCATGCTGTGAGGAAGCCCAAGTTAGCCACGTGGAGAAAAACCAGGGAACCCACCCAAGAGCCAGAACAGAGGCCCAAGATATAGGGCCCTAGTTGAGCAAGGCCCCAGCCATCTGAACCACCCCAATGGAAGCCCAGACATCACTGAGCAGAGATGAGCCCACCTGCACTATACGCTGACTGAATTCCTGAGCCAGAGAATCCAGAATCATGAGCAAATAAGAGTTGTTTTAAGTCATTAAGTTTTGGGGTGGTTTGTACAGAGCAATAAATAACTGAAACACTACTAAAAGAATAAAAAATGTATAACAAATAAGCTAATTGTTGGGAGAGAATAGAATGAAAAATACTTAAGCCAAAAGAAGGCATGGAAGGAAAGAACATAGAACAGATGAGAGAAAGCAAGCAAACAGTAAAATGGTAGATTTGAACTCAGATACTTGCTTCTAGGCACCAGACCAAGTGTATGTATGAGTAGGCACCAGACCAAGAGCTTGTCTCTCCAGTTTTTAAGTCTGAAAATTTTTATCTTTTACCTATTAGCCTCTGAATTCTGTCCATATCATTCCCACCTTAGTTTAACGGCCCTGCCTTGATGCAATCTGAAATAAACCTGCTGGGGAGATACTACCCTTAATCTATTTTTGCTGGTGTGTCACCCAAACTGGTTTAGAAGAGTTTCAGAAAGGCTTAGAAACATAATATCTATGACTGCCACCTCTTAGCTCCTATTTTTATAGGCTTCCATGTCTGGTAAGGTCATAGTTGGCTTTTTCAACCCAGAAAGGCTCCAAATTATGCAATTAAGTGAGTTTAGATTTCAGGTCCCAGGCAGAGAGCATCTCTTTGCAAGCTGTGTTCCCTTCTCCTCTGCTGGCTGTTATTAACTTTGATTTTGACGAGGGCCTTCTCCCCCATATACAGTGATTAAATGAATTTAACGTAGTTTCTTCCTCCACCACTGAAAAGCTATTCGATATATGGACTTAGCATCCAAGGCACTTTACAATGCAGAAAATACGGCAAATTCACACGCAGTGTGTATTTTAGAGGTGAATACGCGGTGCTCCGCGAGCTCCCCGAGGACAAGTGGTGTCCGCACTGATTGGGGCTGTGGCCTAAGCCTGGCACCCGCCTGGCACGCAACAGGCGCTGGACAAATATTCGCTGAATGAATAAGTCGCTACGGTGTTTGGGGGCTTTAAGACACACGTACACGCACTTTTATCGTCAAAACTCCAGAGGTAGTTGTCCCTTCTGCACCGCCGCGCACGTTGCCCCTGAAACAGGATCGCCGGCCACCCCGTCGGGCGGGCAGGCGGCGGCCGGGCGCGCGGCGGCCCGTCCGGTGCGGGGCGGGCGACCCCGTCTGGCCGCAGCGGCGGTAGCAGCCGTTCGCGCCTCTCGGGTGCAGTGGCGGCAGGGGCAGGAGGCGTCTGTGAGGAGGCGAGCAAACAAAGCCAACCGCACAGAAACGGGTCGTTCCGTTTCACATCCTCCCTTGGGTGCCCGGGTTTCCTCGGAGCACAGTGACCCTCCTCCAGTCTGCAGGCAGGTGGAGCCCGCCCCACGCCGCGCGCTCTCGGGGCCCCGGCTGGCCCGCGAGATGACACGCCCCCTCGCGGGAGCGCGCGGCCACCGCGCGCACCCCCGCCCCTCCGCGCGAGCGAGCCAGCGCGCACGCGCACGGGCGGGCCTGCTTCCCGGCACCCACTGAGCGCCGGCCCCTCACCCCACCCGCCCCCCCGCGCCGGGGCTCCGCCTCCGCGACGGGCTGCTGAGAGGAGGCGACCGGAAGCCACTTTAAAGCAGAGCTGGAGGTGACAGGCGAGCGAGCTGGGTCGGCACTGCAGCCGCGGCTTTCAGTGCTCGCGGCGGCGGAATGGCCCGTGCGCCGCTCGCCGCGTCCCCGGCCTGCGACCCCTAGACGCCGAGCCCGCCTGCGCTCCGGCCCCGCGAACGCTGCCGCGAGCCGGCCGTGCGCGACCGGCGCCCGGCGTCCGCTCGCTCGGGCTGCCCGTTCAGGTAGGGGCTCCGGGGGGCTGGCGGCGCGGAGGGACGGCCTCGCAGCCGGCGCTCGGGGTCTAGGTGCTGATGTGAGCACTATGCCTTCCCGTGCCGAGTTCACTCGGTTCCTGTCAGTGCCGGGAGGGCGCTGGTCTACACCTCTCCGTCCCGGAGGGCCGCCGGCAGGTGCAGCGATCGGAGGAGGACGCGGAGGGTGTAGTGGGTCGCCCGCGCCTCCCCGCTCCCGCTGTCGCGGGCGGGCGCGCGTCTGTGCGGCTCCCGCCGCAGACCCGGGCGCTGGGGCGCGGGGAGCCCCCGCGCTCCGCCGCAGCCCGAAGTTTGCAGGCTGCTGGCAGGGTAACTTGGACGGCGCGGAAGTCTTCGCCCTCCTGCCGCCGCCCGAGGGGGTGCCGCGGCTCCCCGCGCTGCTCGCGCGGTTCTGCGGACCATCCCCGGGAAGGTCGACGAGGAGGTCAGCGAGAAGTGAGGCGCCAGGAGGCTCTGGGCGGAGGGAGCCTGGCGGGCTCGCTTGGAGGAGGAGGCTGGCGAGGGTCGGGGTGCCCGGCGCCTGGGCGGGATGTTCGGGAACACCGGGATGGCCCAGCCGGGCGGCCCGGGGCGCGGAGCTGCGCGGTCCCCGCGGCCGGCAGGGGGCGTCGCTCGGACCCGGGCTCGGCGGCGGGGCGGCCAGAGCCCCGGCTTTGGGGCGGGCGGTGTCCTGGGATGGTGCTGTGGGCCGGAGTGCCGGAGAACCGGGGCACCGCGGGGTGAGGGGGTGGAGCGGGAGGTCGCCTGCAGCTGGGGACCGGAGGAAGTGTCCTTCCAATCTTTATTTTTGTGTTATGCAAACTAATTGAGGAACTAGGTTGTAGTGACTTCCCCTCTCCAGCCACTCCTCCACTTCTTTGCTTCTTCCTCAGTTTTATTTCCGAATTTGACAGAGGGTAGTGCCAGGAAGAGTGTATACCCACGTACAAATAAAATTGGTTAGTGTCTGTTTTCGCCTTGATTGGGTGTGATAGGAATGGGTAGTGTGCGTGTGTGTGCGTGCGTGGGGGAAGGCACAGGCCGGTGTGGTGGGGAGGGAATACCACAATCTGTGCCAATTGTGCCTTGAGGCAAGAGCACCGAATGATGAATAATAACGCCTAGCTTGGCTGCTTTCCAGTTGATTTATGTCTTCTTCAAGTTCCTCCTTCGTGAAGCTTTCTCTAACAATGCCAACTCACGCTGAACTCTCCTTTTTCTACCTGATCCTTTTGGACTTTCCACGTACGCTAAAACTTCATTGTATACTGTTTTTTATTTTATTTTTCTGAATTTGATCATTAGGCACTTTTTACGTACGTAGATAAATTAATCTCTCCAATTATATTTTTAATACTCATTTTTCTGGAGACTCAATTTTATCATTTTGTTGTTATTGTTGACTCATAAAGGCTAACAGAAGTAGGTGTTTAATAGGTGCTGTTTCTTCAGTAATTCAGCCAAAAAATATTATGGAGCATCCACTGTGTGCATTGTGCTAGGCACTTGCAATGCATACTTGATAAAGTCATGGGCCCTTGCATCAAAGATTTCTTTCAGTCTGTTGGACAAGAGAGAAGAGGATTAATTGCTCATCACCAACCCTTTTCCACCTGGCACAATGCTCAGTAAATATTTTCAGAATTAGTTAATGCTAGATTGTGGAGGAGACACCATTTGTCATTTTACAAAGTTTGCTTTGCTTTTTGCTTTAAGTTTCAGTTTTTTTCAAGAGGTCTGATTCTTTGAAAAAAAGCAGTTTTTTAGTCTCAGTTCACTAGCAATCTGAAGTTTGGTGTGTGTTTTATATTCATGTGTTATTTTTCTATAATATGCTTCATTTGCCTTTTAAAAAAATGCATATATGTAACTATTCTGAAAACAAGGAAAGGAGGCCCTTTCTGTGTTGTGAATGTGTGCTGGTTTCTAAAACAGTGTGCAGTGGTTGTTGCTGACACCGGGCGTCTGTTTCTAAACAAGCCCTGGTATTCCTTCTCCAGTAATGGTAATGTTTTGGGGATTGCAAAAGTAGACCCTGAACATTCTTGGGGAATATATTGGAACTTTCTGAATATAAAAATGCTCCAACAGGCTCCTGGCTTTCTCCCGTATAACATTTCAGTTGAGAGCCCATGTCCTGAGTATATCCTCACACCCCAGCATCACTCGCTATTTAACTTTGTTTATCCTTCATTTGATGAATTTCTTTTTTCTTCAGAAAAACAGTTTTTGTCACTTCATGAAGTAGGTGATACATAAACAACTGAGAAGAGAACCACAAAGCAGTGGAGATGTGGTTTCCCTGCTGTCATCCGTCAGATGCACTTATTTCTCCCCCTCCCTAGACTTACAGTAAACATTCATACCACAGCAGAATTACAAATCGCTGTACATTATAACAGTCCAGAGATAAACGTCAAGAGCCTATTGGAAGATACTGTCTCTCTTTTACCTTTACCTGCTGTGGGCTTTTGAAAGGCCTTGGCTGCTTTGAAGTCTTGGTTTCTCAATAAAACTTAAAATTGACCCGTGAACATGTGTAAGAGGAGTGATTTCAGAGACTTAGTCACAGACTAAAACAAAACATTTTGATGAATGAATGGGATACAGTTGATGTCAGCTTGTAAAGTATCATCTTCTCTCCTTTCCTAGTAGGATTTTTAGACTCTGAGGAGCAGTTGGAGCTAATCCACATCATGGAAATGGAAACCACTGAACCTGAGCCAGACTGTGTAGTGCAGCCTCCCTCTCCTCCTGATGACTTTTCATGCCAAATGAGACTCTCTGAGAAGATCACTCCGTTGAAGACTTGTTTTAAGAAAAAAGATCAGAAGAGATTGGGAACCGGAACCCTGAGGTCTTTGAGGCCAATATTAAACACTTTGCTAGAATCTGGCTCACTTGATGGGGTTTTTAGATCTAGAAACCAGAGTGCAGATGAGAGCAGCTTACATGAACCTCTGGTGAAAAAAACCCTGGAAATCAATGCATCGTGTCCATCAGCAGAAAACAATATGTCTGTCCTGATTCCGGATAGGACCGATGTCGGGGGCCAGATAGCAGAAGCCCATCCTTCCGCTGATGCTCCAGAACAAGTGGTTGCAATCCAGGATCACAGCTTTCCCCCGGAAACCATCAGTGGGACAGTGGCAGATTCTGCAGCAGGGCACTTCCAGACTGAGCTTTTGCACCCGGTCTCAAGTGATGTTCCTGCGAGTCCTGACTGCATAGACAAGGTCATGGATTACGTTCCAGGGGTTTTCCAAGACAACAGTTTTACAATCCAGTACATTTTGGACACCAGTGATAAGCTGAGTACTGAGCTCTTTCAGGACAAAAGTGAGGAGGCTTCCCTTGACCTTGTGTTTGAGCTGGTGAACCAGCTACAGTACCACACTCACCAAGAGAATGGAGTTGAAATTTGCATGGACTTTTTGCAAGGCACTTGTATTTATGGCAGGGATTGTTTGAAGCACCACACGGTCTTGCCATATCATTGGCAGATCAAGAGGACAACTACTCAGAAGTGGCAGAGTGTATCCAATGATTCCCAGGAGCACTTGGAAAGATTTTACTGTAACCCAGAGAACGATAGAATGAGAATGAAGTTCGGGTATGTATTTATAATTACTTTAAAGCTGTTGTTAAATCCTGTAGAGAGGGTAAAGAGGCTAAAAGCTTAGTAGGGTGGTTTCTTTCAGTGGTAAGCTAACAGGTTTATTCTTTTTTCCACTGTTATTCTTTTGGCTGTATACGATCCTGATTTTTATGGTGGTTGAATGCAGGCTATTTACCTAACCAGACAAGGAAGGTTTTATGATTTGAACAATTCACATGTCACTCTGTGCAATATGTGTGTGACTGAGAAATTGCATATACATTGAATGTTGTGAATCAAATACTATTTTAATCACGCAGGAGAGCTTTTGAAAGAAAATCCGTGGTGAATCTTATTGTAACATAAAAAATGAATACCAAATGTATCTAAGTTTATGAAGTTTTGCATTTTGAGTAGCTGCTGTTTTTCAGAAGAAAATAGTATTGTTTGGAGATTTTTGTGGCCCTCTTTTCATTTTGAATAGTACAGTTTTTCTGTCTAAACTTCTGGATCATGCCCAAACATGTTAAATCTCTTTTTTTAGTTTCCTTAAAGTTTTTTACCATTAAGTTTATTATCCTGTTTATCTTACAGATAAAATAAATTGTTCCACAATTCAGGGTATTTTTTTAAACTTGAAAGAGTCTTTTAACGATGGCTGAAGGGAAGATTTATGTTAATGAATGTTTGTTTATGATTTATGTAAAACACAGTTATCATCATGTTTTTATATGCAAGACATATAAATCAGTTCTTTTAGTATGGATGGCCAAGCAATATTCACTGATAGGGAACTGAAATTTCCACATCTGAATTCTTTAATTGAACTTAAAAATGAAGAAGAAAATGATAGTTGCCACATGTAAAGTTGCTAGTGCAAAAATGGCTGTATTATAAGCATTAATCTTTTTATTTCTAAGTTGTTTTCTCCTGTAGTATAGAAGGAGTTAAAATGTGTGATGTTAGTAGTTGTTTGTGTATGACCAAGGGTAAGGATTAAAATTATATGTGGGGAGAAGAGCATGTTTGTGCATACTGCCTGACTTGGGAGACCATGAGGGCAACCTGACAGCTTCACCGATTATGAACGGCCTGTTGTAGTACTGAGAGGCATGACCCATAGGGAAGAAAAATACGCAGAGTATCCTAACCCAGAAGTCCAGGAGAAAAACTTTCTTGAGAGTTATCTTTGTTCACAGATAAGTTGGGTTACACTACTCAAGTGTCTGGAGAGTCAGCATGCAAATGGTCACAGTAAACCATTTCCAAGTTGTCGAATTCTGTTAGTCTTAATAGTGCCGGAGCGTTGTTGGCATTGGAGAAACCTCGTCCTTTTTTTTCTTTTTTTTTAACTTCTCTTGCTCCCATTTAGTATTAGGTAATATTTCAATATTTATATTTCAATATTTCAGTTATATCGTACACAGATCTGTGTGTCTTTTTAGCAACCTAATTATCATGCAGACTAGAACTTTGCATCTTGTGTTTCAAAAGAGACGTATGGAACAAGATGAGAAACAAAATAAGGCCCAAGTTTAAAGATTATTATATAGAAGACTCTTTGGGATAAAAGTAAGATTATATCAAGAATGTAGTTTTCCAGATCATAAAAGTATTGTCTTGATAATATAGTGCATTCAAGATCCTGTCTTGTTTGGGTAGCAAAATTCGTAGATCCTGTAATAAAGCTACCTTTTTTTTTAAGCCAGCGTTGGAAGAGAAAAAAATATTTTCCATTTTATCTTAAAAATCTTTTTAATAGGGTATTGTCCAAAATCTTTGTTGCCCATGAGCTAGCAATTCTAATTGGTATGTCAAGGGTAATTAATTTTATATACTCTTAAAGCCACTGTAATGCTTCCATCTCCAGATTGCAAAACTGTGCAGAACAGGGGCCTCCCACTTCACTCTAATGAAGCAAATTTGTAGTCTGCTGAGTACTTCAGCATCTTAGTACATTGAGTGTCTACCTGTTTGAATTGGTTGGGAAGAAACTAGCAGGACTATTGTCCAACACGTTAACGTTCTGTTACCATGAGCAAGGCAAGACAGGTATTTTGATCTCAGAGAATCCAGGCACTCTTAGGTCAGCAGCATGTTGGGTATTTTATCCTTTGGTAAAATTACTTTGCTGAAGAACAGACATAGATATAGGCCCATGAGCATGTATTGTTGGGTCAGTTATAAAGTAGTTGCAGTGAGTGCTTGATTTCCAAATCAGTTTTAATGAAGTAAACTAATGTCTGACACTTGAGGGGAAAAGTATGAGTGAATTATTATAATTACTATTGCTGCTGCTACATTGTTAATGGTAGTAAGTGGTCCTACCCTGATAAAAATAGCAAAAAGTATTAACTGTTAATGGCTAGTAAAGTGAAGTTCTCCAGGACAACAGTAAGAAATGTTGTAAGATTGTAGATAGCTAAGTGTCAAAAATTAGGCTTTTGGGAAGTTGACCTCTGGTCATTGCAACCTGGTTTTCCTTGTATTCCAAAGCGATGTTGTGTTTCCTGGCAACAAGATGGAGATAACGGCATGTTGAGCCTTGCTGAGAGATTCACAAACAAGCTGGAGCTGCCCAGGTTCACATGGTTACCACATTATTTGGCTAAAGCTATTAATCTCTGTGGTCAGGCTTGTAAAGCTGGTCTATCTGTACAGATTGCACATAACTAGGAAGTGTGTGTTCAGCTGTGTATATGTCTAAGTCGGACCCAGTAGTCTTTAGATTCAGAAAAAATGAATGGCAGTTGTTTATTCCACTTGTTTTCAGCAGCTTTTATGACTTGGTAAATCATTATTATATACTGTATCCATAATACTTCATTGTGTGGAACTTGGGGAAAGTTCATGGTTCTGGGTCTCTAGCAGAGACAGAAGTTCATAGTTTCAAACTGTGCAGATAAAATTCTTTGTTTTGCAAATATATTGGATATAACATCTAAGTTAACCCAAATTAGATGTGCAGTGTTCATTTTATTCTCAAGAATGAAATTGGAAAGGAAGTTGAGCTGGATAAGTTCACAGATCCCTTCCAACTCTTTAGTCAAGATGCTAAGATACTGAAACACATTTGTAAGAGAGGATTTCAATAATAATAAATGCTTATTTGGTTCATTATATAATGAAATTATTTTAATTTTTCTTTTCCAATTTTGCCTTCACTCCAAATTATGATACATTCCCACTTTGCTTTCTCACTCTGCTTTTGTCCATCTGTGGATGTTTATTGCCAGCATCAACTGGAAACCAGTTATATGTATGAACTCCCCATATTTAGATGCCAAGGCTTCTTTCGAACACAGGATGGGCTTGGAGAATTCCAAATTCCAAATATGCAGTTAAGAAAACAGCATTGAATGTTGTGTTTTCGATTAAGAAAACACAGTCTCTGACACTTTAGGCACTCTTCCTTAGTAGAAAATGACACTAAATGGCAGCACTAAGCAATTTTAAAAGAGCCTCACTGTGTGGAATACTGTTGTGGATAATTGAAATTGTGGAGGATGTGCAAATCTCCCTTTAGCAACTAAGAACGTTACATTCATTTTAAAGTGTGCCAGAGTAGTTTTCTAGTTATTATCACCCATGAAGAAGAGACACTCTGCAAACTTTTTTTGGAGGTAATCGGTAGGTGAAAATATGACCAGTGATTATTTCTAATTCTAAATTTCCTGAAAGGGGGAATGTTAAGAAGAAAGTTGCAAATCCTGACTTCTTGTTTAATTTTTCTCAGAGGACAATTTCTCTTCTTTTGGAATTATAGCATATTGATGAAAGAGGGTGTTTTACTTTGGCTTAAGCCTAGACCATTGTCATAGTCTTAGTTTTGAGTGATTTTGACTGCTAATTGCTCTCAGAAGTTTGTTTTTGTTTTAATTTATCCAAGGGACAGTAACATTAGAAGACTTCACAGGAACTCTGTGAAGGAAGTCAAGGAGAATTGCATGTTAATGATAATAAAGAGCATATGCTGTCGTTTTCCATAGACTTGCAGAGTGGATTATCTCAAGTAGAGCAAGCTCCTGACTGACTCTACTGGAATGGTTAAATTAGCCCAGTTAGTTCTGGCCTGCACAGCTGTGATGATGTATGAACTAACTCATTATGTGTTATTGATAACACTGGAGTGGGGAACAGCTGAAACTTACTATGCCTTGTGACTTTTTGGTATTTCTTGAATATACACAGCTGGATGAGTTTAAATTTATTTTAAAAATTCCTGCGTAAGAGAAAGAGAGAGCTCCATAAGCAAGAACTGTGTTTGAAGTGACTTGCAAAATGTGTGCCTTGTACTTTAGGATAAAGCAATCCAGTGAATTATTTTTTGTACCTCTTTATGCTGCTATTTACATATGAAATAAAACTAATTGGCTTCTGTCTGTACTAATCCAGAGAAGTTACTGGGTCTGTGTAGAGCTATCATGGGAATCAATAGCAATCATTTATTTATTCCCTTTCTGGTTTTTTGTCAGTAAGCAGATTAGACTTTTTGAAGCAGCTGTCACCTGGCTTCAGGTTGGGGTCAGTCTCTTCCTGATGCATTTATGGTAATGAAAATGAACCTTGCAAAAAGTGACGATGTATAACTTTTAAATCAGACAGTTGGAGGAAATAGCTTATAAGGTTATCTGGCAGTCCCTAAAAATAATTGCATGATGTATTCATTTTCTCATTGAGTTGACTCTAAAGCTTTTACTTTTTATTGTAAATAAACAGGGAAAAAAGTAAGTATAACTCCAATCAACGTTTAAAACTTGACTTTGCGTATGTGGATTTGCAAAAAATGCAACTCTAGACTGATTAACTCTGCTGTATCCCTGTAAATCTATTTTGTTACACTAGAATTTCTAGATTCTAGATTTGCATTCTACCATAAGGCAAAAGTAAATTTATAAATTCTGTCTGTGCATCTCTGATCTTAGTCAATGATCTTTAGCTTTATATTGGGTTTGGGGCTATTTCTAAAGGGTGAAGCAATATGTAGCCCATACAAAACTTGACTATTCAAGGAA